GGTCTCACATATGGCTGTGGAGGCAGGCATGTGCTTTGTTAATACCCATATAATCCACCTTGCACTGACTGAAGCATAACCATTCCTGGAAGTAATCGCTTATTCTACTTTCCACCCAGGGAACACGTCTCTTTGATAGATGCCTAACATCTGGCTCTGGTTGCACCTCAGCATGTCCTTCGTATCTTTGAAGTGAAATGTTTTGAGAAAAGAAAGTAGAATTTATTGCTTGTGTCCAGTCACTATCAGCACATAACATGTTTCACATTTTCAGTTTAAGGGTTAAAAGGAAAATATTTTTCTGAGTGTTTTTTGTTGTTGTGTGTATTGGATTAGATTAGTTTATATTAGATTACATTTGATGTTCATGATCCTATAGGAATAGAGCCTTTTTGGTAGTGAGTCATAATACAATTGATCAGGACATACTGTTCTGTATATAAACCACATGTATTGGAAATGGGATTTTTTAATAAAGATGTTGAGCTCTTTAACACATGAAAAGGTACATTAAATACTGATTTCAGATTGTACAAAGGGCACATACAGTCAGCGTCATTACTGAACAGAAACATAACAAAATTGAACTTTTGTGCTCTTGACAAGGCTCCTGTACATTTAAATGTAACTGCTGCAATGCGAGTGCACTTGTGTCCTTGGTTGAGAGTTGAGGTAGGGTTATTTGTTTATCCCACCATCATCAAATGTCCATTAAACTCCTGTTTTGACTCTGCAGCTGTGCGATTATAATTCAGGGGGGGATTCATTTGGTTTTAACAAGTGGACTGTTTATACAAGGATAATCATCTTTGTTCCATAAATGCCTTTTCTTTTACTAATGCTTGCGTCAACAAAGTGAAGTCACACACATGCAAGAATAAACCCAGGGGACTGCCTCTTTTATTGTCTCCATGTTTGCAAGATTATGAAATGGCACAAACTGTGACATTAGTGTTTTCTATTTTGGGCCTTTCCCCAGGGTCATGTATCATACACTGGTAGAGGAATTCATTACTGCTGCCGCACTTATCTAATCTAACAATGATTAATCAGATCAACTTCACATTTGGTGGATGTATTGCTAAGGATCTGAGTTACTTAGTGTCACTGCTCATTGCTCTCCACGGCACATTTAAGTCTTGAATATATATATAGCAAACTCACAAACAAACATTTCAAGCATCAGCGATGTAACTTTTGGAATGAACACTTTTAGATCCTGGAAATAGCAGGGTCCCAAACAAATATGTCTGCTTTTTCTTTTACAATTCTCACATATTTTCACATTTTGAATATACTGACAGCCCTTAAGCTCGGGTATCTTCAAAAGAAGAAAAGGGATTATTTACTTTTCAAATAAAGGAGCCTACCGGGTGAGACAAACCACTTCATCAGTGTGCTACATTTGAATGTATTACTGTCATCAAAGCCATTGGCTGAAATGGCTTTCTGTCTATGAATGTGGATTTGTACCTGTTAAAAGGATGTCAGACTAAAAGTGTGTATGTGTGTGTGCACCTCAGACACACTTATGATTCATCACTGATGTCCCTGTTTTTCTTTTCATTGGTTCGGCAAAAAAAAGCTCTGAGTGAGACCTACAAATGTTTCTACATTAATCAGCACAACAAAAGATCAGAGTGAGTGCCGAGCAGTCTTATGTGTGTGTGTCCATGTGTTTCTCTGCTTGGGTTTGTGTGTGACTGTGTGTGTGTTCCTCGAGCAACCGCCTAATCTGTTCTCCTTCCAGATGGGACATTTCACCTTAGCAAGAATGATAAAAAGAGACAGAGAGTTTTTGCTTGTACATGTGCAGCTCTGGCTGTGTGTGTATTATTTTGTTGTGAATGTCTGAGTGTGTGTGTGTGTCTGTTCCAGCCTGTCTGCAGAAGAAACTCCTTCACATTGAAGCTAGCGTTTTACACCCCAAGTGGCTCAGCCGCCGTTGTCTCCCCAGAGTGACATAGCTAAAGCTTAATGGGCCAGCTGATGGTGTGTTAAAGCGTGGTGTTAATTATAACACCACGCTCCATTACACACAGTCACATTAACATCAGCAGAAGCCGAACTGTTGAGCTCTGTCCCGGGGAGTAAAGTGAGACAGCTGATTCAGTTTGAACAAATCAGGGATAAGGGTCATGAACTCATCTCTACTAATATGATAGGCTTAATATTGAAGGGTGTAATTCTGTTGAGGTGTCTATTTGTTTACTTATTATTATTCTGCTCTCTTGATGGATGTATAATCCCACAGCATATATATATGCATATATACTTTCCTTGTTGTATGTGTCAAATACTGATAAACAAAGACGAAGGATTGGTAGAAAAAGTATTTCTGAAGTGCAATAAGTACGTTTTGATTGACTTGAATTGTATTCCTTGTCTTTCATGCTACTGTGACAAACATCATTTTTTTGTTTATAGGCTTTACGTGATTCCAGGCTAGAGTTCACATTCTTGTAAATGACCTGATGATCTTTTATCAATGTGTATCCTGAGTGTGTCATGTTTCCTTTTGTTGAAATTTTTTTCCCACTGACCCCACATTCATATGGCGCTAACCTAAAGCTGATCTTTGACAGGGAATTAATCTTTTGGGAAAAAATGTACTGTCTTTAAAATGTTCAACATAATTTACTTGTTTAATCTTACAGATGTTTTTAAATAGTAGTAGAAGCTACAGAAATCTGTGTTAGTAGTCTTTGTGGCTATTGAAAAGTATCCATTGTGAAACGGGCTGCAGATTGAATGAAATGAAAACCTTAAATAAAGTGTAAGGGCTAGAGGTTTATGTGAAATATATGTCATATATCTAAGGTGCTAAACCTCAGCGGCGCGTGGCCTTGCTTGTCATCAAAAGGTCATTAAGGTTGTCCTTGCGCCCCTTATCACCTCCCCCACATCCTGTTTCTCTGGTTATTTCCATTCGTCAGCTCCTCGTTATCAACTATCTGATACGGTGGAGATAAATAAGACCTATTGTTGGCGTGATGAAGCAGAACCTCATGCTTGTTCGCTCTGTGGTGGCTCGCCTCTGACTCTGTATCTCTCTTTATCCCTGACACAGCCAGGCTGTGCGACAACAACATAAAGCATCTGATAAATAGCAGCCAATGTAATTAGTAGTGGAGGAAATTATGTGCAGACAAAACCCAGCTCTTTCATCGACAAACACCTACAAATGTATACTTGTATAGAGCCACACACAAACACAATGCCCATTGCGTTTTATCAGGTTAAAATCTTCATGATAGGCTGTGAGAAGTTATTTGTTTCTTTTTCAGATAATGAATCTTGTAAAGGAGCCACTGCATGCATGTAATTCTTTCTTCAGTTGGCTGCCTTTCCAAGCACTTAGCTGCTGTACAAATCATGTTTGCTTTGAACGCAGCTCGGTGTTGAGGCCCTGTTTGTGGTGCGGCAGAAGGGAGGAGACTTTGGTTTGTGCAAATGAGTTTGAGCCTTTGAGCTCTGTTTCTGTCTTCATATAGTTCTGTCTACAGCTTGTATTTCAATGCTCATAGAGATCATGGGAAGTTATCAATGCACCTAAATCCACACTAACAAGTGGAGCATAAGGTCACGAAAATGTAGTCGTTAGAAATTGGATGGGAATTGCAGAGCTAAATGATATGAGTAGTTACATACAGTGCATTCAAGAGGACCAACTCATAGGTTCAAGGCTTTTATGGTTCAAGGCTTTTATTAGTCATACGTGCATAGCTACAGTGTAGTTATGACGTTGAAAATCTTAGGTCACAGTCTAAACACATTTCCATTCGGCCGATATTTTGGATCAACTTAAGTCTTTTGTTATTTTTCAAGGGAAAAACATATATATCATAATTCAGCTACTGAAATGTAAGGCTTTTTTTTGTCATTTAAAAACAGTTAATGAATACATCAGCTTGTTGACACTCAAGCTAACAAATGTCAGCCTCAGCACTTCCACACTTTGAAATTGTACTTGTGTCCTTGTATTTGCTTCACTTTACTTGACTACACGTTTTTAACTTACCGCTGCAAGTTTAATATCATTTTTATCTACACAATGACCTCATATTAAGAGTTTACTGACAGAAGTTGAAACCCTGTCCTAAAGGTGAAAATCACTTTTTGATTACTCACAACCTGTAACACCCAGTCATCAGTAAATCCTGCATGACTGGCTCAGAGACAGACAAGGTCAGTATTTCAGGAACACCCTCAACTAATGAAATTGTCAGTGTCAGCTATCTGGGGCTGCCCACTTTAATACCGTCGTTTCACGGTGCCTGCTTTGTTTCTTTAAAGGATAGAGGGCCAATGCAAGCTGCGCTGCTATGCCACTGAATCAGAGAGTGTGTGGGTCGGGTGGGGCAGAGGGGTTATTGGTGATTTCTCATGTCAGTGGTTTTAAGGCCACCCAGGGGAGACAGCTTGATATGCAGCATACAAGGTGATGAGATTGGGAGGGCTTGGGGAAAGAGGTGTTGGAGGTGAAATCAATCTTCTTGTTTAGCTCAGGCCCTTTTTTCACTGCCCCAGTTGAAATTGTTGTTGGGATCATGCTTTAAAAGTTGAAATGCCCTTGGAGTTAAGTGTTGAGTGCGTGAAAAGCCAAGCTATAGAGGCCACATAAAATAAACAAAGTCAGTGTTGAGCTGGAGAATGATTTTTACTTCTTCCCTACTTTTCAACGTACCTTTATGTTTTTCCTCCCTGTTCGTGAGTCCCTGGATTTTCAGTCCTCAGTTTTGCAAGCTGAGTGGCTGATATATAATTGTTAAATTGTATAATGTGTAAGTAAGGTTTTTGCTTAATCTGCATAGGTATCTCTTGACTGGTTGAGTTAAATTCAGAAAGGGGTGAATGGACAAATTGTGTCGTGTATACTTCCTGCTGTTCTATTTAATAACAAATAGTCCATGAACAAAAGTACAGTTTTGTTACTGCAATAAGAGATCTGTCAAGTGTGTAACTTTATAAACTGATACATGTTTCTTTCCTTTATGCAGGTAATTCGCCAGCTTTCGTGGGTTTTGATGTCACCTCTAGATTGGTTTCACTGAAAATGGAAACACTGGAGTCTGAGCTGACCTGCCCGATCTGCCTTGAGTTGTTTGAAGACCCCCTTCTCTTGCCCTGCGCCCACAGCCTGTGTTTTAACTGCGCCCACCGCATCCTGGTGTCTCACTGCTCCACCAGCAAGCCCCTCGAGTCCATATCGGCCTTTCAGTGCCCCACCTGTCGTTACGTCATCACGCTGAATCACCGCGGCCTGGAGGGCCTTAAGCGCAATGTGACGCTGCAGAACATCATTGACCGCTTTCAAAAGGCCTCCATCAGCAGCCCTAATTCTCCCACTGAGAGCCGGCGCCTGCAGCCGCCGCAGCGTCCCTACACCGCCACCATTAGCGGGACGATAGCTGGAACGATTGGCGGCGGGGGTGGTGGAACGAGTGGAAGCAGCGCCCGCAGCAGCCCGGCCACTTCCAGCCACTCCCACCCGCACGCCAACCACACCAACCACGCTAATCACGCCAACCACACCAACGCAAACCACAGCCCGGCTGTCGTTGCGAAAATGGATCCACGCATCAGCTGCCAGTTCTGTGAGCAGGATCCGCCGCGGGAGGCCGTGAAGACGTGTGTCACGTGTGAGGTGTCGTACTGCGACCGCTGCCTTCGCGCAACGCACCCCAACAAGAAGCCGTTCACCAGCCATCGCCTGGTGGAGCCGGTGCTGGACACACACCTCCGCGGCCTGACCTGCCTGGAGCACGAGAACGAGAAGGTCAACATGTACTGCTTGGTGGACGACCAGCTCATTTGTGCCCTCTGCAAGCTGGTGGGGCGCCACCGAGAGCACCAGGTGTCCTCGCTCACCGAGCGCTTCGATAAGCTCAAGGTTAGTCCTCTGTGCCGTTTCCAGTTTACAAAGCGTGCGATAATGTCAAATCGGCAAGCATTTCTGTGTACTGCTCCTATTTGATGTTGTTTGACTTTATTGTGACTGAAGCAAGGTAAGTCACCATCTGGCACAACGTTTGATAGAAAAAGAGTTGAGACACAGTTGAGCTTGGAGCTTATTCTCCTTCATAGCCTGCAGCATTCAGTATGATATCTATGTTTACAGTTTGCCAAGAGCAAAGTCTTTAGTCCATTCCTACCATGGGGATGTTCATTCAGTGCATTTCTGTTGACTGTGAACTTTCAGCACTGCCACAATTGCATCATACACACTCACACCAGCCTTTGTTCAGCAAGAAGGACAGAAAGACAGATGGCAAACAGAAAGAGTGACAGAGACAATTGGGATGGTGCGCTGGTGAGAAGGGCAGAGAGAGACGGAGAGCAATAGGGAGGCCGTCATTATAATAGTCGATGAGCTGGCATTCCCCGTGGCCACTGAGCTTTCAGAGGCTCTGCGTAGAGTCCAGGACTGCTGAATCAGGCTGAAAAACAACAGAGAGGGGCACTAGCTGGAGCTAATTCCCCCACTAAAGACCTAAAGCGTCAGCTGGCCAAAAAACTTTACCTCAATTGTGTCTGTCTTTAGGCTATTTACATACATCTTTATGCACCCTATTTCAAAAATAAAAACATGTTCACAGTGTTTGCGGCGCAACACATTTTACAATAGCATAAGTACAATTTCTGTAATGGTTCTGTGAGTAATATTCCACTCTCACAGACTCGTTCAGGATGTGAATCTGGGAACCCAATTGTACTCTCTGATTTGGTTTGGCCTTATGATGATCACTTTGCAAATTAGCATCCCTATTGCTACAATTAACCAATCAACAGAATAATGCGAACTGGTATTCTGGGGGATAATACTACATATCAGTGATAACAGCAAACACTTCTTGATTCTCTTTGTTTTTTTATAGTGTTTTTTTCACAAACGGCAAATACACATGAATTGAAATTGGCTTCCAGGCTATGGTATTTTTCCGGTGTTTTGGGGAAATTGCTTAACAGTTAACTGAAAATATAATATAACATCACATATGCCGCTTGATGTTGTGGATCATTTGATGGACTTTTTAAATTTTTAAAAAGGAAATATCCTAGTCAAAGACATGATCCTTTGATACTGTGAATCTGCAAAGTCATCTAGTTTGTGTAAATTCCAGGGATATGTTCTGTCCCAGACTGCAAGGGTATTGGTTTGATTGCTATGGCGTCAATGAATGGTATTGTGTAGCACACAGACAAAAGTAGAGAAAGCACTACCATAGCACTTTAAGTCCTTTTAGATGCGTGTTTAAAGGTTGATGTTCCTTTTCAAAGCAGAAGTAGATGTAATGGTCTCACATTCAGGCTTGTTTGTGTGTGTGATGTGAGAAACATGACATTGTTAACATTGAAAGTACAGCAAAATCCCATCTGATGTTGTGATTCAGTGAAAATGTCATCTCACATTCTGTATAATGAATGTTTTATGCTACCAAAACTTTGGTACACACTTTCAGTTTTGCACCAACATGTTAGCAATATTCCACCTTCTCACCACCTCGCACAGACTGAACCCACTGGAGCGAGGTGTTTATTTTCACTAGCATTTACTCTCTTTACACCGCTGTCTGGCAGTGCATTCTCCTCAGACTGTGGGAGAGTTTACTGTAAGTAGCTATAGCTAGCTCTCCCCCTCCTTTCTTCTCCACTTCATGGCCGGCTGTGGTTCTTTTGAACGTTCCCCAGCCAAGCCTTTGAACTTGCTTGACTTTGAAATCCCCAATCTACCCCAAATCTGGGAGGAGATCAATCCGGTCCAGACTCCAGCTCTGCTCACCAGCCGCAGTGGCAGCTAACTTATAATCTTCTTCTCACTCATGGCAAGAGGAGGAGAGGAAGCCCAATTTATGCATATCCTATCATGGAAGATGTCAAAAAAAGGGTTTGTCTTCCAATTCTCTGTTTCTCTGTCTTTGTATTAACACTGTTTTTAACCAATGCCATTCTCAATTGGACGCTTCGCTAAATAATTGGAATCAGTTGCCTCTGCTTGACCCCTGCCTCACTCCATGTGAACTTTGACCTTTGGATTACCCTTCCCATTATTTCCTCTGTCTGCTGTGTACGCTGGGAGCAACTCTGTCACAAAATGATTCCTCACACATTAAGGGAAAGGTAAGTTTCCCCTTGGGCTAGGAAGGTAGATATTTCAGGAGAGAAAAGGCCAACAAGTAACCAGCCGTGTTAAAGACAGAATGTACCTCAACTAAAACCGCAGGGAAGAGAGCTAATTCTGCAGGTAGCGGCTGGAAAGAGCTCGCTGCTCTTCAGTAAAGACATTTTTGTCTTGTAATTGTCAGACCTTGGGTATAGTGTTTTACTTTGATACTCTTAAAAGACTGCAGGTTAATTGCGCCACACTTTAGATTCGTGTTTGTTTTCACACAATTAGAATCACGGAAACCTTTTCCTGCTAAGATACATTTAGTTGTAGCGGTGAATGTTTCATCACCTGCCGCTTTTGAAAGTGTCTATGGCTCATTAGAGTCTTATTTTTGTAGCGGCATGCCCTATCAGAGGCTGGGTGTAAAAAGCTGAAGTGTTATTTGTGCTCTTGGCACAGGCTTTTTAGTTTTAAGCGATGCTGGAAGGCTGGAAGGTGGAAGTGTTCACACCAAATGCTGATGGTTCATGAGTTCAAAATACATTCAGATTCATTTGCAAAGACGGGTTTTGAAGAAGTAATGAACATGGTACTGTATAGGTAAATTGTCATGCTTTGATACATGAAGGTGTAGCAGCAACCAGAGGTGAGAATAGTTAGTTGATTAGATGTTGCCATCAGATGAAATCTATTTTTGTCCCTTTTTAGATTCAAGATTTCCTTTTGTTTTTATTTATCTTTCCATCTGTGTTAAAGGGCCTTTGGGGAGTACCATGAGACTTTGCAGCCTGCTACCGTTTGTGTCTATGTTTCACTCACTTTCTCCCAAGAACCCGAAGAGCACACATTGTTTGATTAAAAAAAGACACCTGAATAAATAAAAGTGTTAAGGCAGAAACCTTAAGATAATGAGACAGGTGGCAAGATGAGGAAAAACTGTTCATAGGCTGAAGGAAATTTGGAAAAACGATGATAAATGGATCACTTCTCTGAGATAAGAAGTCTTTCTCCTCTGTTCTCCATAACTGGCAGTTCATTTACTGACTCAGGCTCTTAAAGGTTTGAAGTGTGTGTTCTTTAGCATTGAGTGCTGAGCAGGAAAGCCTATAGCAAGGGGACTGACATTTGTGACACTGAGCAGCACTTAAAATAAGCAGCAGATAAACTTAAGACTCTGGTTCTTCAACTCTGGTTGCCATCTCATGTGCAATAACCCTACAGCCATGGGATTTGTTGTTCTGTGTGTGTGTGACTCCAAGGTCTTGACAGGTCTCAAGCATACTTGTACCAGATGATAGTCGGTTATGTACATGAGAAAAAAATGAAGAAATATGCAAAGCATTTTCCAAGCGATTATTGGATTAATTCCTGTTTTTGAAGAGGCAAGTCATACCATACTGACAACCCCTCTCTTCTCCTCTCCTCCCGTTTGCTCTCTACCCTCTCTCCATTTCCTTCAGTCCCTCCAGCTCAGCTTCTCTCCCTTTATCCCCACCGTTTCTTCCTTCACCCCCCCACCCCTCATGTATTTTACTTTCCCCCATCTAAGCTCCTTAAGGCACTGTCTAACTCTTTTCCTGTGCGATGTGTGTATCACCCCTGCCCCTGCTGCTGACTCCACTCCTGCTGTATTTACACCAAATTGCTTTGCTAAATCCAGAGGCGAGCTTCTGCATGTGTGCATGCACACACACAAATGCATTAAATCACATCCACACCCACAAACTCATTTGAACTTCAGAGTTTTCACACACACAGAGACAGGCAAATAGTCAACAAATAGTTCAGCTCACATATTCTGACTGTATGCGAAACACTGACAGCAACGTTTTAAAGCAATGTCAAGCACTCAGCCAAGCTTAATTTGAAATGCCCACCAACCCTTTCTTTTATATACTCTCGTAAATTTCAGTTTTTTTCTACATGCAAATACTCCCCCCCCGCTGCTGTCCTCCCCTTCTGTCACTTTTTTTTTTCACACAATTTCTATGTTTTGCATGCAGCCACATAAACATCATCCTTCCCACCTGCTTTCTGTCACTGTTTCTCCCTTGCCTCCCTCTCCCTCATTTGGCCCCTGGCCAGTCTGCCTTGTTTTAGGTAACACCACTCCTCTCCTCTCGCAGTCGCCCACAAACCCACATGCGCTGCCACAGCAGCATATTGCTGGTGTAAGGGAGAATCACAGCCCTCCAGTGTGTTTGTGTGTAGGAAGGTATATGATTGCCTCCAAATATGTGTGCCTGTTTGAAGCATCTACAGGTGTGTGTGTGTCTGCATGTGCATGTGCGTCAAAGCAGATGCTATTAGCACTGACATGTGTGGAGTGATTGGGAGCCGAGTGTGTGAAGCCAAGGGAAATCATGGCTCTATCTGGAGAACAGTGAGATGGCGCACACTTAGTCATGCTGACGGCACCACCAAGGATGTAGTAGAAAGCTTTTAGTGTCTGTGTGCTCCGGTGTGCATGGATTTGTGTGTGTGCATGGATTTGTGTGTGTGCATGGATTTGTGTGTGTGCACAAGCGAGTACCTATACTTCACTACTCTCAATGCATCATGCATGTGTTGTGAAAATATGTCACCCCAGCCCATCCTGAAATGTAGTAGGTCATGAAAATAGAAAAGGTTATCAAATCACTCCAGGCACTGTATCATCCATATGCACAATTTATGCAGTAAAGAAAGTGGAAAGCTTTTAGGAGCTTTGGTCTCAGCAGTGATGCAATGGCATGCAGAAAGAGAGATATAATCAACATTACTCATCTGTGAGTTTGGTGTGT